CCCGGGTTGCCAGAGAAGGACCCAGCGCCGCGGGGTGATGCCGTTGGTCTTGTTCTGAAACTTCTCCGACTCCAGGGCTGCAAAGTCCTCGAAGCTGCGAGGACGAGGAGGGGACAGCTTCAGGCTCGCCCACCTGGCACCAGCACCGTTTCCAAGCCGAGGGCGATCCACCACCGCCTCCCTCCCCGCGCTTACACTTGGGTCTTGACTATTTCGGAGTGGATCTTCGCCACGCCGTTGACAGCGTGGGAGCCGACGATGCAGAGATGGGCCATGTTGATCCGCTTGGTGCCCCCCTCCTCTATCAGGGACATCCTCCGCAGCCGGTCCACGTCATTAGGGAAGAGGGACGCAACGTGCTGCCGGTGGAGGCCAGAGAGGCGGTGAGCGGTGCTGGTGTTTAGGGATGTCCCACCCGATGGCTCCCGAGGAGGGGGCCGCAGCAGTCTCCAATGCATTTGACACCAGCCAGAGCAGTGGCTTTTACTCCAGAGTGACTGTGCAAACCCCCTCCAAAGGGTGCCCTTCCCCAGCACAGATGTTTCTGGACAGAAGGACCCCCCCAAGCCCCCACGGAGAGGAGCTTGTGGGCACATGCTTGGCTGTTTTGGCAAAAGCCTGGTGCTGCCAGACCAGGAGGTGAAACCACCATGTCCTTTGTACCCCCGACCTCATCCTTCTCCAAGATGAATTTGGCATTTTGGGAGCAAAGGAATGCCAACAGGTAAGTCCCTGGAGCAACGGGTGAAGTCTTTAAAATAGCCACTAACTGCGGGATGGCAGCAGACTGGTGGGAAGGGCTTTCCTATACACAAACCTCCCAAAACAGCAGCCAGAACCACTGGGCCACACACCCAACATCATCGGTTTGTGCAACCCCCTAATCCCGACAGCACAAGGCATGCCAACCCCGTCCCCCTCCCTGGAGAGGGCTCCTGTGCCACCCCAAGGCACTTACATCCAGGTGCCTCTGGTTGATCTCGTAGATGATCTGCAGGTGTCTGGGGAGCAGCTTCTCCATCAGGTCCACCGGCCAGCGCTCCAGGGCTTCGGGGAGCACCGTGTGGTTGGTGTAGGCGAAGGTCTGCTTGGTGATATCCCAGGCCTGCCAGGGGGGAGAGCCGGCGCTGAGCGGCGAGGGCGGAGGCAGCCCCAGCTCTGTGCC